AAGAAAATCAAGCTTGCAGCCGCTGTTAAAGCTGGCGAGATAGGGAGCCATGTAATTCCCCGTGGAATGAGAGGGGTGAAAGTTGCTTCCTGAAACCATTCGACGGAGAATCTTTATTTAAATTTTAAAGCTCTTTACTATCTGCACGCTTTTGTATCAGTCTTCGTCTTCGAGATGGAGTAAAATCAGATTTCATTCTCTGTTCTTTATTTTTTCTCTCTCTCTCTCTTTCTCTTTCTCTTTCTGTCTCCTATTCTTCCTTTTCTATTTTTCCTTTTCTTTTCTATTATACAATATTGGATATTGGTATCGTTCTTTTGAGATAAAAGTTAAGTGAGTTCTCGTAGAGAAACGCAAAGTATCTGAGATATGATGAAGATAAGAATTATTTTTTTTAGTTGAATAAAATTGTGGAAATGTGAAATCTTCAGATTTCTTTCTATTTTTGTTCCTCTCTTTTTTTTCTCTGCACACAATATTAATTGTTTTTTTTTTTTTGTAGAATAAAAGATAAACAAGCTCATGTAGCACGAGCAAAAAAAATTATGTTTTTTAATTGAGTAGAATAAAATTAAATTTCCCTCTCCTTTTCTTATTCTATTTGTTTCTTTTTTCTCTCCCCATGTTACACAATGTTGGATATCCGTACTATTCTTTCAAAATAAAAGTTAAGCAACCTTTCATAGAGAGAAACGCGCAACGTGTTTGGTGATGAAAGGAAAAAATTTTGGTTGAGTAAAGTAACAGAGCAATATTAGTTTTTTTCTCTTTCTCTCTCTCTCTCTTTTATCTTATCCTTTTTCTTTCTTTCTTTTTTTATGTAATATCAGGTGTTTGTATCATTCTCGCTCGAATAAAAATTAAAGTCTCGACAGAAAAGGAGAGAAAGATTTGTGGGTCGGATAGAATGTTGATCGCGTGAACGAAATAATGCAGGCAGTTCATTAGCGACTTCAATCTAGAATTCTATATTCCCAGGTGTTTTTTCGTTTTATGCAGTGTCTCGCTGAATTCGCCAGGCTGTAAAAATGCGTGGGAGAATTAAAAAGTACATAAGTTATAAGGGTGAGGTATTTAATGCAGACTTTGCATGGGGTGTTAAAAAGTACGCGATAGTTGCGACTTTTGAATAGTGTAATAGGAAATATAATTTCCGGTGCGGAAGAGTGACGATGTAATAAAGAATATGGAAACAGAAATTTTTATTATAACTTGACTGAAATACGTCAGTAAATTCATTTTTTTCCTCTTCTTCTTCTTCTTCTTCTTTTCAAATTTAAATCTCTTTTACCACGAAAGATTGTTCCGCGGTATAATATTTTCGCAAGATATATTTTAAATTATGGATGCGTTATTTTTTTTTTAAATTGTTCGATTCTAATTTTTAAGGGATGAATAAATAATGCTGTAATGAATCATTGCTGCAATTTTTAAAAGTATGACAATATATAAAGTAATAAAAATAAGATTCAATTTTGTAAATTGAAAAAATATCGGTATTGAAACTTTCTCTTTCTTAATAAATTTTGCATTGCAGCATTGCTCGTAAAAGTATAATTTTTACCATGAACTGTAATAATTGTTCAAATGTTTGTTTTAACACGAGAAAAATTCAATCATTTCTGATTCGAATGAAAATTTATGTGTACATACAGTGCAAATAAGTTATATATCAAAAATTTTCGAGGAGAAGAAATCAAGTCACAAAATTTTAACACGTTTTCATGTATTTTTATACAATTTTTTCTAAGAATCTTTTTTAAAACGATTTAATAGATCGTCAAATCCTCCATATTTTGTAATTTAGAATTTTACTTTATCTTCGCCATCATTATAAAATTTAAAAAACAAAAAATTTCCTTAAAAATAAAAATCGTCTATCGTTATAATCGATTCGACTAAAAAATAAAAAAAAAACCTACAGTAAATTGTGCAAAAGAATATTATTTTACAAAGACTTTCGTACAATGTATTATGTTCGTACTACCCTCAAATATTAAGAATTATACTCCATTTCCACACCTTCCACCTTTCCTTGTCGCGAACGTTTTCGCGTGAATTATGCTCGACTCGTCTCGAACTTCATGAAAAATGTGACCGCGGGAAAGTTCGAGGTCTCCTGGTGTATTGTTACGAGGTTTAAGTTAAATTGAAGCACTCCCATCCCATAGAGGCATTATCAGGGGCACGAGGGTTCCTATGGAAAACCATTCGTCGTGGCGGAATTACTTTTTTATTGGACCAACTCCGCGGCTCTAAGCGTGGTAAATCCTGCATGACTTATTTTCTGAGATTTAACGTGTTGAAATGGAAGAGGGGAAAAAAAAGAAGAAAAAAGAAATGGTGGGATTAATCATGACCGATGTACACCCCTGGAATTTCTCGCAATTCTCATTTCCGATCGGAGAATAATACTTAGATTGCGATTGGGGACGATTTGGAAATTTAAGGGTGTTGAAAAATATATATATGAAATGCGCTTGAAATATTGCTATGAAATTATATATGAATATATATGAAATTCGAATTGAAGTATTGGTTATAATATTTAGAAGATGAAAGTTAAATTTCAATGAAATTTATAAAGTATTCTCTTTCTTTTTTTCAATATTGTATATCATTTTCAAACTTTTGATTATTATTGTAATAAAAATAGTCGATATTGAATACATTTATCGTACGAATTATTCGAGTTAATTATATAATTGTTACATGTTTTAATATAATTTTATTAATTACATCATGCATAAATGAATTTCATATATAATCAATATGAGTTATCGATAACTGGAGATTCTATAAGAGACATAAAATTATGTTTAATTAAGCTAGGGAAAGTGAACTTACCTCTTTCATAATAAACAATTCTACAATTTAATTTAACGATGAATTTAATTGATTTGATCAAATTCATATCAAATTATATTTGAGTTATTTTTTTTTTTCTTTTTAAATGGATTTACTCTCCTTTCGTAATAAATAGTTAATATTTCGTGTATAATTGAAAATTATAATATTGTGCTAATTTATTCTTCGTTAAATAAATTCCTATTATTGCACTTATAAATTAATTTGCTCAATCAACGAAACGAGATACAAAGCAGCGATCATAATTACGATGGAACAAAGTTGAATAACAGGGAACATTACGAAACAAACTCGTATCCGTACCATTTTCGTTACTTTTCAATCAGCATCGATCCGTGCCACAAATGAATACAAGAGTTTCCTCTCCACTTTTCTAACTCGTAAATAGGCTTTAAAAAGATCCGATTAACCCAAATGCAATTCTTCCCTTCCCTATTCAAATACCTTATCGATTATCGCAATTATCCTTCTACGAATCAACGAGAAATATATAACAATTTTTACCAATTGATAAATAAATAAATAAACAATCAACATTCTCTATTCTCAAAACTTTTGTAAAACTTTCACTCGCCACGCGTGTAATATCATTTGTTTATTTAAAAAAAAATGCACTAAACGTTTCAAATAAAATAAATTTTCGGTTTTATTTTAAAGTATCAAGTTTTTTCCATTTTTATAAAAAAATATTCTCCACCATCTACGTATTTTACAAATATTCTATTTCAAAAAATTCTCTTATACCTCTTTATAGAACAGAAATTCAAAATATAATTTACTACGACAACATTAACCATCTAACTGTCCAATATTTCCTTAAGAAGAAACTTGATTCTGCCCGTTAGCATACTTTTTCCTTTTCCTCTTCAGCTGCTTCTTCTTGCCCGGTTGTTGAGACTTTTCTATTTTCTTTCATCGACCTCTCCACCCCTCCTCCCCTCTTACCTTCTCGTTAAGTTTTGATTTACGCGCCGCGGGCGTCGAGCAATTAAGAGCAAATTAACGTCAAGATGCTCGATTAAAGACAACGGGGCTCGAAACAACACAAGGTGGCACAAGGTTGTTGCGAAAACTTGCGTCAATGTTTCGACCGCGTTTCCCACGTTGAATACGAGCAATGCCGTGTTCCTCGGCGGAAAAGAATGAAGACGGATGCCGGTGATATTTTATGGAAATTCGATAAAGTTCCTTGAATTAAAGGAACGAAAGAGAGGGCGGCCATTTTTTCGCCGTTTTACAACACCACCACCAGGTGATGGATTGTTGTTTCTAATGGTGGAATCTGTTATGCGTCGTAACGGTGTATTTAACTTCAAAAAATCGAACATTTATTTCATATATAACCGTTCAATGAGACGATGAGCGATCGATTTTGCTGAAAAAATCGAAAAACGTTATTTTTGCGAATGTATAATTTTCCTGGATTTTTTCTAAATTTTTTATAACGGAGTTGTATCGGAGAGTTCTTTTAAAATTTAAAGTTAAAACGTTCTATATAATATTTATAGAAATATTAAATTTTTTTAAAGCAATACTAGATGACGTAAAGTCAATAAAAATCAACTTGTAATATATCTTTTTTTTAACGAGGCTTTCGTAAAAACATCCTATAATTTGAAATCCTTTAATAATCCTTTTTTGTGGTATATCATTGAAGCATAATAATTAATTATTAAAATGTTAAAATAAAAACCAAACTATATTCATAACCAATACAGACTTTTATCAAATAAATTTTTTTTCAATTACATTTACAGAAATTTTACTTTACATCCAAATCTATTAATAACGAATAATTCATTAATTAGATAATCCCATTGAATTAAATAAAATTTCATCGGCCAAAATTAACATCATTTAATCATTTCATTATCTAAAAAAAAAAAAAAGAAAATTACAACGTTACAATCAGAGAAATATCTTTTATCTCGTTGATGAGACGTTCAGACCACCGCTTTGTTCTCGGCTGTTAAGAGCATGATCGAATCGAGAAGCGTATACAGCGCTTGTTCGACAAACTCGGGCCAAGATTTATAGACGTGGACCGGTTATCGATCCGTACGCCACGCTCCTGCTTGTATCGCTAGTAATTGGAACATTTATGAGCCAATCAATCACTTTTCTCGTTGCAGTCCCCCCTATGCTCTGGATACCGCACCAATTGGTCGGTGCACCCTTGGACCACTCAGTCACGTTGGAATGCTACACCGAGGCTCATCCAACTTCTTTGAATTACTGGACCAGGGAGGATGGCCTGATGATTCAGGGTAGCAACAAATACAAGACCACTTCCACACCGGAGAAACCCTCGTACAAGACGCATATGACATTAACGATACACGATCTGCAGGTGGGTAGGGTTTTATTTATAATCTTTTGCGTCTTAAAAAAATATTGAGGAATAAAAATAAAATACGTTCGACGAAGGAGTATTTAAAATTTTAATTATGCTTACGTTATTTCGAATTAGATCTTCTTGTTTTAATTAAAAAATAATTAAACTTTCGATGCTGAATTAAAGTGGGAATATCGATACAACAAAATTAACTCGATTACGCGAGAGTACGCGTTTCATTTTCTCGATAATTTTGTTTTTGATGGACAATCATTTGAAAAAAGAAAAAAAAAAAAAAAAGGCAATCAATTTTTCATTCCATTTCTATGAAAAATTCAAAGAAGCAAAACCGGATTCGCGTTGATTGTGAAAAACTTCATTCGATTCGTCTTTTAATTATTTTAATATCGTTCGTCAATGGATCAAAAGCTAACCGATACTCTTTTCGATGAAACAAAATCCGCAATGTATTGACGCGAACATTACCAATTGAATTGCAACATCTGGCAAAGACAATTCGTTTGTCGCGTTCGCTGGGACGTGTCTCGGAGCGACGCGTTGAAAATCGTTTTTAAGGAAATAAAATCTCGATGAATTCATTCGAAAAATAATTTTTATCGAACAATGGGATAAAAATAATAATAACATTGTTATATTTTAATATCCAAAAATGCGTATATAAATAATTCGATTCAACAATTAAACTCAAAACTCAGATTGATTAATTAAATATCCAACTCATTTCAAACTTCAAAAAACTTTAAATAACTTCCAAATCAATTCTAATATACCATTAATAAGATCGTTATACGTATTTTTCGTGCAGTTCACTTTAAAACTCGATTGAATCCTATTAAAATTAGGAAAAATTTAAACCGCTATAACTCGGAAGATAATGACTTCCGGTCGATGAATGAAAGATGATTAGAAGCGCGGGATCTTGCCCTTTAAAACGCTCTTTCATTTGTTCCGATACGACTTCCGGTTCCCGAGATATCGTCGTGTAAAGAGAAAGGTAATTTTTAATCGTTTACTATCTGCATCCTTGTCCCGTACTCGGACCTCTCGCTCGCTCCTCGTCTCACTGACCTATTCCAAACTCCAGACAAGTGCCAGACGCGATTCCTAGAAAAACGTGTAGTAAGCATTTCCAAGAAACAATATAGGTCACGGTTTCATTCATCAGCCTCTGCGCTATGTTAAGCATTATAGACATTTTGAATCGTTATATCTCGGTAATTATTTGAGATATCGGGATAAAACAAAAAGTGGCTTCAATGGCATGCTTTTCTCCATTTCCTGAATAGATTTCCATGATAAAATTATAACCCATATATGTTGTATGTAAATAATGATAATTGATATTATATTATATACATTAATAAATTGAATGTATATTTTTTTGTTTCGATAAAAACGTCAATTTTAATTGTGCCAAAAGCTTCTTCTCGTTGTTTTTAATTACTATTTTGACAAGTTTCATTGTGATAGTTCTATTGTTACGTATTCATCCATCATTCTACGAAATATTTTTAACTCGTTTTATAAAATTCTGTCACTCGTGCAATATAAAATAATTCTATGATCGCGAATATCATCCAAGATCTAAGTAAAAAACAGATGGGAAGAGAAATAAAAATAGTTTCCATTTAGTCCCGTAATTGAGCATAAATTTGAAGATTCAATATTATTAATAAAACGCTATTCTCTTGGCGACGACGAAGTAATTTTCCTTAGTCTTTTTTTTATTTTTAATTTTCTATCTTTTTATTTCGTTCCATATAACTGTACCTCGTCGGTCCTTCTTTTTTCGGTTGTTTGTTTGCGATGCAAATATTCTTCCATTCTCCGGCGTTCCCTGAATTAGGAATTTCTTTTTTCTCGTTTTTTCTTAAGTAGCCTGGAACGCGAAGATCACGTGCTCTTTTTCCCTCGTTTGGCTAGCTTCTTGCCAGTTTTTTTTTTCACGATTTGCTTGGTTAATTAACGTATAATAAACGGCTCGAAGATGGATATCTCGTATAAAAACATTTTAATTTTCGTATTAAATATAATAATTATTTAACGATTAATTCACTTTCTACGATTTTACAATTCGTATTTTCTAAAAAAACGTGTATTATATAATTTCATTTTAAAAGTGCACTGGAATTATTAACGTATACAACAAAAAGAAAAAGAAATGTATAAAAAATAAGGAAGTATAGTATTCTAGTTTATCTTTTCTTTTTTTCGCTATTAAATATTTTTATCTCTTAGAACTTTATATTTTGCACTCTAAATTTTAACACTTTTGAATTTAAAAATAAAGATAGCGAATAAAGGAAATTCACATTTTTAATAAATTTTGCTATTAAAAATTATTTTTCAGTTCTATTTGATTAAAATTAACATACAATATTACGCATACATATATAATTTCAAATAATATTTCTATAATACTAATCTATAATACTAATCTCCAGACTCTTTATGTACGAAATGAGAAGAGAATGTTCATCTACTAATCCTAACTTCAACCAATACGAGAAATCGCGAAGCCAACAGGTGATATTTGAAAAGTTTCACGGCATCTCACGAGATTTATTCATAGATTATTTTCGCGTATGGAAAGGATATCCTTAAAATGTCCGTATAAAAGAGAAACTTTCTCTCTCTCGTCATCAAGCTCGAGAAAAATATCCTTTTTTTTTTCCCCTCCTATCCCTCTGTTTTCTTTTACTTCTCGCGATTCTTTATTGCGTTGCTTTTATAAGGATAATAAATGCGTCATAGAAAAAATTTCAGAAATACAAACGAGCAAAGATAGAAGTTTCTTTTATTCAACTTCCTTTATTCTTAATAAATGAAACAGATGTAATGAAAAAAGAAAAATCTCTCTGAATTTCTCTGATAGTAAAAATGGATGATAAAATCGCGATATGATTATAGATTGGTTAATAGATTTAAACGGATATTTCTTTCCTTTTACAATTTTGAAAAAGGAAAGGAATACAAATTCGAAATACTTTCAATTTCCCAAATACATTTCCACTTTTCCATATCTTCTTTTCTTTCTATAATTCCTCATATAAAATCTCATTCGAACTACAAAATTTCCAATTTTAATATCTCCTTTAATATCTCTTCTTATTTTTCAAAAAATCAAAACTTTTTATTTCTCAAAACTTTTTATTCGCATCGTATTCAAAATAAAAAGAAAAATAAAATGATAATAAAATTCAAAGAAATGGCGAATCAATCGATATAAGTTCGACTTAAACTCATCCTATTTTTCGTCAATCGATTTCAGCGCGAAACCGTTTCGCTAAATAATCAAACTTTCGATAAGCGCAATCTTGCTTAAAAGCCAGATTTCGATTCTATCTTTCTCTCTCTTTTTCTCTTTCTCTCTCTAACATCATTACCATTCTGTTTTTCAGGAGGAGGATTACGGTAGCTACAAGTGCGTCGCGAAAAACCCACGTGGGGAGACAGACGGCACCATTCGCCTGTACAGTAAGTGTCGTTTGTTTACTCGCATTTTAAAATATCCCGCCGAAACGTTTGTCAAGCTAATGACGAATCGTGGATTCCTGGGACGCAGAGATGTCATTTTCATTTGGATCTTCGTGTCGGGAATTTTTAGACTATTTCCCCTATTCCGTTGCACCATTCGTGCTGGTGCTTGATTAAATGTTATTTTTCTTTTTTCTTTATTTCCTCGTTCCTTCTTTTTTTTTTTTTTATTCTCTTCCTTTCGCAATTAAAGCGTGCTCGTCGACAGACGGCTCGATCGTTTTGTTTGCTTTTTTGCGTATGCGTGCGCGCGAAAGATAATTTGAAAATGCTTTGAAAATTGTTCAAATTCTCGTTACGAGATTTTGAAATAATATATTCTCGAGATTGATTTGTAATCGATCAATTCGTCAGATTTATAACTTTTACGACGATAAATAATTAAAATATTAAATGTACAATCAATTTGGCATTCATCAATTTTCTAAGGCAAAATATTCAAGTATTTTTTAATATAAATATAAATTACAATATATGTTTACTTACTCCTGCGGATTTAATTATTTATCGTTATATATGCATCTATTAATAATCGTAACGTGGAAAAGGAGAATCGATAAGGATTAGACTTCCGAGGCACATGTCTGGGAAGGTGTTTACGAAGTAGACGGTGTCGAAATACGCTATTTGCCTGAGAAACCTGTGCAATCGGTCGGAGAACGTTCGATTTCAGTTCAGATTCTACTAATTCGGGTTTCCTCGGCAAATATATGCGCGCAATTAATTAACCAGGGTGGAAGCCTCGGGGATCGCTTTTGCGGCGATCTATTAATCCGTGATTAAATCGTTCGCGAAATCGTGCGGAAATGCCGCTATGCCTGACTATCATTCCGTAACGCCATTGGATTTGAGACATTCGAATAATTACAAACTGGTTTCCATCGTCACACTTTCCTCGAGAGATACAATTTAATGGAAAATTCCGTTTTCTTCTAGAGGGAATAAGTTACTTAAATTACTTAAATTAATAAATTGGAGGAATATTAGATTATATGAATTAGAGGAACGTTACTCATTGATTCTTTCCTTTAAAGTTTAATGCATCATCCGATTGTTATTCGTCTCAAGATTTACATTTAATTATGAAGGATTAACTTTTTTTAATATATAACAAGGAATTAGGATAGGATTACAATATCATATTAAATCTTCTTCCTGTCTTGCAAATTTTTCTCCCTACAATATTTAAAACCATTTATTATTATAATTATTTAAAAACCTTTCCAATTTCCTTTTCAATCTCTTCCTCGTTATTTCATCATTTACGATAAAAATTCCTTGTATATAATCTCTCCCAAGACAAAACCTTTCCAATCTTCCATTTGCAATAACGTAATCGATCACATCAACGTACACCTTTCAATCTTTTCTCACGGATCCACCAAAATTCAGCGCACAATTTGCAATCACCCCCTTCTATTTGCCTTGTCCACCTTGGCTGAAATCGCCCACCCTATTCACCGGAAATCGTCCAAATACCGTATCCCCAATTTCACCCCCTCAGCTTCTTCCGCGTACATCCCGCTTAATGTATGCATATGACATAAAGAGCCGGCGGAGAAATGGCTGGCCGCTGTGCAAACGCGCG